GTAAAAGTTTAAGCTATATTAATTTTTCCTTCAAGGTTATAATTATAACTTAATTACAATATTAGAAGATTGCATACACTTTAATCCTCTGTTTATATCCACTCTGAAACACCATTTGTCACGATACCTTTTTTTATAGTTTTTATGGTATCATTAAAACCTAACTTTTATTTTAATAAAGTATCAAGACAATACTAATACCTAGATCCCTTATTATTAGTTTATTTTACAAGTTCCATTGTTTCTGCCATTTCAAACTTTACGTTAACAGACTCAAGAAACGTCTTAAGCATTTTAAAAGTCAGTAACCAGCATCTATATTATATTTTATAGAGCCTATTGTAAAAGCTAAGTGGCTATTTAATTTTACATTTTTATATTCCCAATACACATAAGCTTTCTTGATATATAAATATGAATAGTTAGATGTTACTATAGTTTCTTGTAAGTTAATTTTTGTACTATCTCCGTTTATAAAAAAGTAAACTTTTTCATATATAACATAGCTTATATTATATCTCAAACAAGCAAATCAAAGAAAATGCTATAAAATTAGGTGATGATGATTTAAAACATGTATCATATAAATCATGGCGAAAAACATATTAAGAAACAACTAAAACGCCTTTACATAGTCAGGATTATTTCGATCCTATGTTACATAGGTGGTCCTCAAAGTTTATTGTAAAACCTACATTTCAAAGGCCGATAAATGTCGACATTTGTAACTTCAGATTGTATGTCACAGAGAATGATTATTTTATGAGTAGTTTACCACCTATAGCAGCCCGTGGACAAGTGAAGAAATTAAAAGTAAAAGAGACAGCCGATTGGTATAAGATACAATATAAAAGTCATTTAAATTATAAAAATAAGCGTACTACGCTATGATTTGTGAGGCATATGTTTGCCAGTATTTTATCTTGATTATTGGGCTTAATCATTTAAATTATGATAAAAGTGAGAATTATACAAAGCCTTGTTAAATACCATTTTGGCATTATCAGATTCAAAATATTTTGACATCCATCGTTATTAGACAAATATGACTTTACGGAATTGAAAGCATATACCTTATAGAGGTATTTAAATTTCTCAACCACTAAAGACGGTGATGGAGGAAGCTGGTAGGGGGATATTATGTTTAATTTTCAATATTCGACTACTGATTATAGAGACTTCATTGCATATCATTCTGGAAAAGTTCAAATCGGAAAAGTTCTTTTGCAAGAGAGCATTGAAAGTTTTGTTTATACAATTCTTGGTGCCCAGGCGAATACAATATGGCAATAGTTAATCAGGGAGCTAGGAGCATGCAAACTCAAAACGTTTTTAGGAAATTAATAAAGGATACTATAGTACAGAATGTATTGACGACCGTATTGATATCTAACATGAGAAAGAGAATAAAAAACACGAATGTTATTTTAAATATGGCAATCAGTCCTGGTATGATTTTAATACCCAGCCGTATGATCATATTAGATAAAAAGATTGATGGGTATAAATAATATTTTAACATTAGCTAATAAAACTATGAAATTCGGTATTAATTCTAAATCTTATTTATGGAGTTAAAAGGAAGAACCAAAAAAGTACTACATCGAATATGCACACCTCACAACACCTAGATACTCTAGATGAAGTGCATAAAAACCAACTATACATAAACATACAAAAATTATATTAAATAATCCCATGAAACAGATATGATTACTTTACTCGGTATATCAACTATCATCATTCATATTAGTTAAATATGTTTTATATTATAATATGAAAAAAAAGTTCTGGATTTAATCATATTTCAGTGAGTTGAGTCAAGAGATTTGAAAAGCTTAAAAGTTGTATTACTATCACAAGATGTATACTTGTTATAAATGGAAGTATAATAAATTAAAAGAAAATTAGACTATCATTAAACATGGGAAGTATTTTTCTAGTCTCGACTGGTGGTATTGCGTGATATAATCATAAACCGATAGTTATAGCCACCCTGAGTGGTCCTAGGTGCTTTAGTTCAAGGTTATATGGTTGAATTAATAATAACTTAGAAATGTGTAAATTTGCATATTCAACTTATAAAAAAATACTATCAGAGATAAGATCTTATTTAAGAGGATTAGCTTATGATGAAGTATAATGTTTTGACATTATCAGACATAAAAGTTATTGATGATATTATAATTGACTTTTGTCATCCTATAAATGGTATCATGGGTAAATATAACAAAAAATATAAATGATCTGTTAGTTATCTATAAGATTATCTGTGAGTTATCTACAAGATTATCTGTGAGTTATCTGTGAGTTATCTATAAGTTATCTGTGAGTTATCTGTGAACAAAATCTACAGTATTATATATAACATGTCTGAAAAAAACCTAAAGATAACTACAATTTAAGAAAAGAAAAAGACCCTGCTAGAGAGTCGAAGCTGGGAAACGCTTGGCTGCTATATCAGAAAGCTTCTAAAGAAAAAAAAAGATGCGAGATAGGATTGAATTAGAAAATAAAAGAAAATTGAGGATATAGCTGAATATTACAGTTCTTATTTGAGCAGTTGGAATGATAACCGCTATTGCTAGCCTCTATTACACGGAAAGATGATAAAAGACAGAAAATTAACAAACGATAAAAGCGAGAGAAGAAACAACTGGTGAAAAACATGTTTTGATACAAAAATAAAAATTATAATTTAGACTCATTTGAATAAAATATTTCCTATTATATATGAGTAATACTATGACTAAGAAACAATTTATGAATAGAAGCTTTTGATTCAGTGCTTGTGACAACAACTGCTGTAGGTCTTTCTATGGCGTCTAAAACTACTAGGTCAAAATTAACAGACACAAACTGTATCAAAGATTTTGCTAAACTAGTTATTGCTTTACAGCATCAACAATGCTAGTTAAATATACTCAAGACAAAAATGGATTCCTGAAAATCCAAGTTAAATCTGTATAAATATATATGTGTTATTACTAGTGGATTATCAACATCTTTAGGAGGTTGTTAACAGTTAGGTTTTTCCCTAGCAGGCTGGCTATTTATAAACTTGATAAAAACGGTTATGCTGGAAATTAAAAAAGTACAACAAGGCTATAGAGGACCTATCTAAGGCTAAAGAGGCATTCTATGAAAATGAAGTCAAGCAGCATGATAAATTCAACAGCTAAGACAAAGAACTTCAATATGCTGATAATGATATAGAACTTACAAATAAAGCTTTAGATGCATGAAAAGTAAAAACAATACATTACAACAGTTAACATTTAAATTTCGTTAAATGACTTTTACAAAGAATCTAAGAATATGAAAATTATCAATCTATTACAATGATAGTTTGGATTGGTATTATATTTGGATATTTATTATATAAAACTACTTAAAAGATATAATATTATATTATATTATATTATATATTGTAATAAATTGATTCATAAAGAGTTAGAAAGTTTTTGGTTATATAAATTGTTGCTTTTAATAAAAAGATATGTGATAGTTATATTAATAGTTCTGTTAAGACATACTTATGTTGCAAAAATCAGAAATTATTTCAGATAACAATAAAATGAATGTTTGTTGCACTGTGGTTCTGTTCACTCATATAAAATAGTTAATGAATGGATACCAGAGATTTGGAAATGTCAAAGATCCAGTTCATTCAAAGGAAAAAAATGGTTTATAATAAAATTAGTTGTTAACTTTTGAATATGTTGAGAAATTGACAAATGATTTTATAAGGTTGTTAGTACTATGATTAAACATAAATTAATTAATAAAAAAAATGTTAGTATGTATAACTATTATATAATACGTTTAGCTAGTAGGAGGGGTATACAATTAAAACACCCTGTTAGAGATATGAAAAATAGAAAGACAAAGATGATTTTTGATGATAGATTATTTGGTGAAGTATATAAAATCCTTGAGTGGGATAAAGATATCGACTGTACTTATTATAACAATTGGGTCCAGTTGAAGAAATAAAAAATTTACTATTATATATGAATCTTAAAGATCTATTAAAAAAGATTAGAAATTTTATTCTATGTTGTAAAAAACTAGTTATAATATAGAAGGTGCTTTGAAGGATTTTGAAAAAACATTGTATAAAACAAAAGATAATTTAAACGCACCTTAAGAAAAATAATATATATAGTAATTATACATAATGGTAAAAGTTATAAAACACAAAGATGTATATAAATATAAAGAAAATAAAATTAGTTTAGATTTATTAAATATATTAATGGAAGAAAAAAACATGTACATTAAATCTTAAAAATATTTAAAAAGATATAGTTAATGCCTAAGTAATTTATACGGCAATGTTTAATGATGTGCATTTGACACATACCTATGGCCTTGACGTGGGATGTATGGAATGTTGCGTCCAACCATTTTCTGCAAATGTTGTTGAACTCCATGGGATGTATGGAATGTTGCGTCCAACCATTTCCTGCAAATGTTGTTGAAGTCTAGGGTTATGCCTGGCAACAAGATTTGATATTTGGATAAAGTTTCCCTCTTGCTTTTCATTATGCCCTCTGAAAGCTAGCTGTTGACGTGCCAATGTTCTTGCGATGTCTAAAAGGATCTTTATGGCTTCTTGGTTTCGCAAAATTGTTTTCTTATTCTTGTATTCTTACTTCTCTTAACTTCTTTTCGAAAAAGCATTACATCGACGTTTTCATATTGCATGCAAAGTGTGCCAAATCACTCTAAGCAATTTCATTGGGATTCGAATGTATTGTATCTTTCCTATTTTTATCTTTACCAACGCTTCTCATCTTATCCATGATCAATTATTTCCGCCCAGTAATCAATTAGTTGTTTTCGATGGTATGTCAATTTTTCTACTTCCTGAACACTGCCCTGCCACTTGACGGCAATATGCCCTGCAAAAACACTGTTTTCAACAATTGGGGGTGTCACACCCCCACATTTCCCCAACAGTTACGCCCCTGACCAAAACAATATGCTCTTGTCAGTCTTGTGTCGTTGAATTCGTAAATTAATGACTAAAAATAAAAGGTACAAGATACTAAATAATAAACACGACTCTCCGATATTCTGAAACGTACGAGCCAGTGCCAGACACATTTTGAAGAACGGGAGAACACGTTGCCATGATGTCATTATACTTGAAATTTGAGTAGTTTTACGTAATTATAAAGTTAAGTGCGTAAGTTTAAGTAGCGCGTTTGAGTAAGTGTAGGATTGGCTATTTCCTCTATTGCTAATACATACTTTATATCACAATACCACATGTAATACTTTTAAACCGTAATTGTGATATATACGTCTCATTGTGGTTAAAAACGCAACAAAAAAACTCCCAATTCCATGGAAGTACTGTATAGTAATCCCATTTATATTTTTTTATTTTTCCCGATAGAATTGCTCATTATTATACGTATCATCGGAGGATTTGTACATAGAAGTAACTCCGATGAGTTTGTAGATCATGAAAATTCAATCAAACTTCAAATGTGTCCAGATTTTTGTAATCCGGAGAAACTTTTATCTTTTATGTATAAATATATATATATAAATTGGGACATTTGCTCTAACTCGTGTCTAATAAATATTTGAGCAAAACTACACATGCATAAACAAACATGCGTCAATACCGAAACATTGCTTTGAAAGAATCCTCCTTTTATTGACGGAATTTGTGATAAGTAATCATTTTCTAGAGGAAGAAAAACCAAACAAAATAAAGTACCATTTTTTTAATATAGAGAGTATATGAGGTTGACCAGGATCAAAAATTTTAAAATGTCTCGTAGTACAAAACCCTCAGTGCAGTCCAATCTTAATTCGTATGTACCTTCCAAATAGAGAGGTACCCACACGTCACAATGCATTGTAAATTGCAACTTACATGACAAACTTATTATAAACCACAAAGTTCAGGTCTACAGCGCGATGAATCTGTGTCAAAAGAGAATCACAAGACGCACCAAGAATTAAATTCTTATAATCTGTTGGCCTTAGTTAGATAGTATACGGAAAATGCGCATGATTAAATCTTTGGAAGCTTCAAAAGATATTCATTTGATAAAAGTTGCATTTAATCTATTCGAGATTGCAAAAATACAGCATAGATAATTGGTTAATGATAAACTATCTCAAAAGGTTGATTCTTCTAATTCTCATCAATAAGATGCTTTACCTTTATGAAATAAACTTATCAGCCTATAACTCTTAGTATTGAAGTCATTTCCAAGCATATTCTTTTTCATAAGAAAACTTGCATTCGTGTGCTCTTCCTGCCAAGTATATAATACCACACTTGTCATGTATACACGTTAACAAAGTAAAAACCTATGTTATTGCCTTGTTTTATGGAAAACGAAATTCTGCATTTGACTGGAGAATAAAAACTGTACAAGAAATACACCAATTATTATGAAATGGTTTAAGTTTGAATTGTTATTGCCTAAATAATCTTCACTTTGATTCAGGTGAGTTGCAAAGAACTATCCTGTTAAAAATATAATCTGAAGATTTGTACTCGGAAAATAGACATATAAATAAGGAAGAAAGACAGGCTTTATGTGATCACATTCAATTTTTGACACAATGAATTTTCTAATGAATGAAAAATTCCGCAAAATTCAACCTAACGTTTTAGAGCAGTTGGTTTTTAATATTCACTATTGATGAAAGTACAATACAACTAAGTCTGCAAAACTTACAAAAAATTCTCCGGTCTTCAAGTAATTAAATACTATTGACGTCTTCAGCGTTTTTACTACCGTCTGACTACAAGGATCAAAACAACAAGAATGACTTGTTTTGCAAGTTCTCATACCTACATAAATTTTCTAAATTTGAGAAGATCACAGCACGATATAGTGACCTGGTGACCCTTAATGGCGGAGATTGGTGGAGCTTTGAAAGGGCGTAGATTAAATTTCAGACGCGAATAATTTGTCTTTGGTGTGAGACGAATGTGTCTTTGGTGTGAGAACATTAGAGACAAGTACATCAGAGGAAACACAAAAAAACAGTCGGTTATTCATCAGATACATCACCATAAATTTCGTTCAAACAGCGAAACAGAAAAGATAAATATTTCTTTTTCTAAACCATTAAACTGGAATTTACTTTCTCTTTATCGCATTTTTCATCATATTTTAGCCATATGATCTATTATTGGAAAACCGCTGCCAATATGAGTCTATGGTGAGCTCTTATAGAAGATAAATGATCATTCATTTTCTCTATGCTTTCTTACTCGTTCTTGCAATCGCTTTGTAAACGCTTGTCTATTAACAAATTATTAAACGTTTCATAACTGTAGAAAATAAAAAGTATTACGAGAAAAATTACTAATTTGGATATGCTGATTGAATGGAATAGACCAAGCAGTGGCTAATAAAATAAACATCAAATCCATTTCATTTGAACAAATAAATTCACGTGACGCATAACTATATGAAGGTCTATTCACTCGTCATAGACAATCTTGAAAACTTGTTCTCAACGAGATTTAGTCCCAACGACATGTGGATTATTTGTGTTTAAAAACGCAACAAAAAAACTCCCAATTCCATGAAATTACTGTATAGTTATCGCATTTATATTTTTTATATTTTTCCTAGTAAAATTGTTCACTGTTATACGTATCATCGGAGGATTTGTACATAGAACTTCGATGAGTTTGGAGAAGATCATGAAAATTCAAACTATGAATGTGTCGCGTTTTTTTCATATTGACAATACACCCCACCCAGGATTGAAAAAACTTACACGTAATTCTCTTGTTTTCAAGTGCTGCAATAACTTAATTTTTTTCAACATTTTTACTTCTGTTAGAAAAAAAAAATGAAAGAAAAAAGACGATGAAAATTTAGGACTGAATTTAGCCATAAGAGACTATGATCAAAATGCTATTGTTCAAATTAAATAAAGAAGTGTATGCAACTGTGGTTAGTTATCAACAACCCAGGTTGAAATTTTGACAGTAAATATGCCTATGACTCACCAGAGAAAAATAGCTACGAATTTCTCTTATAATGTTAAAAGGGTAAAATGCACTTTCATGTTAACTACTGACTTCTATACGATTATTAAAGCTTTAAGATATTAAAACAATGAAAATATGAGTAAAAATGCAATGGTAACAATTAAACAACAAATGATAGAATTTACGCAATTTTGACATAACAACTTGGTGGAAAAATATGACGCTTTCTTCACATTTTAAAAACTTTACAGTTTTTCGATATTTTAAGTCCTTTCGTTTTGAACATAATTTTTGTGACTATAGTGTTGATAATTAAATAGATAGTTCAAAAGTATCTTCGTTTGTCAAGATAAATTAAAAAACGGTCGGAAATAAATAAACAGGTAAGAAATTTTCTCATAATTTATTTTAGATTTGATCTTAAATTAAAATTCAATTTTCTCAGGGGCTTTTTATAGTTCTTGTAAATAAATGGGATAAATCTTGACAATAGTTCTGGTTCGAGAACATGGTTAATTATAACATAAATTGGACTCCAAATTCATCGTAGATTAAAAATGAACACCAATTTGTACAACAAACCGTGCAAAGAAGTGTACCCCTACATACACAACAAACCATTACCAAAGTGTACTTCATACACAACAAACCATGCAAAGTGTACTGCTACATCAAACCACATTCAAAAGTGTACCCCCTACATACACAACAAATCATGCAGTGTACCCTTATGTATACATCAATCATCATTGTTACTCCACTTACACAACAAACCATTACAAAATTAACACATATGTATTACTGCATCCAAACTATGCAAAGTGTAACCCTACATACACATCAAACCATGCAAACTGTGTCCCAACCTCTCATGTACATCCAGTCTACCGACTTTTCATATCCAAAGCGGCAAATGAATATATTTTGAAGAATTAGCAAAAGAAAGAATGCTACCGATGAAAAGCAGAAAGGGAACAGGTTTCTAAAATTTCTGATAATTTTCATTTTGAGCTGTTGCATGTTTATGATTAAGGAGAATTGATAAATAAATGTATCAGAGGAAGTTATGTTAACTTTGTATCATTAGAAACGTTTGGTTTGGGAATTATTTTAGTATATCATCCAATTATAACTGGTTTTCATATACGTTACTCAGTAAAACCACTTACGAATTCAGTTGGTGTTTCTTGAAGGTGGAACATCCTTTTTAAAGATATCTGAAATATAAACAATGGAAATTAGTTACAAAGAAGAAAATAAAAGATTATGGAGATATGCATTAATTCTTTTCATAAAAAAAAAACAGAAAATAAACAAAGATTATGATAAGAAGCAGTAAACTACAGAAACCAACACACAGCAAGAATCTGACGACAAGTAACATAAGACGAAATGAAACGAGCAGTTTCATAAAAGATCAGAGCGATTCTCCATCACCACGTTGTTTAACACTATGTTAGGAAATCAAGATCTTTAAAGGTGAATACAAAGTGGAAGAGGATAGTATCAATTACCAGAAAAGAGAATACAATTTAAGAATATAACCACAGTGATAGCGACCAGTGAAGATCGACCTTACTTTGTGACCAAGGAATGGTTACTGGGAAGATCGACCTTACTTTACTTCGTGAGCAAAAAATGTTGTGACGGGAGATCTTGATTTGAATGCAAAAAATTTGAAAATATTTTCTTGAAACACATGGCAAGACGTCTGTAAATCAACTGAGACGGCAAAAATTAAAAGAAAAACACATTTTACTTACATTTCCTTTAATGATAGGTGACGATGTCTGAGATTGTGTTTTACCGATCCAAATTGTTTAATGCAACGTTAGATTCATATAACCACGTGATGGTGAGAATTTCCTCATGAACCTACCTCCCATGAAAGCTCCTTTTCGATTGGATCAAATGTATAGGTACCAACTGAAAACATGGAACACAAGTCATAAATGTTGATGGGAAACGTCAATGAAGAGCAATGAAACATCAGACTGTAATGTTTAATAGTTTATGAGCGTTTTTACCGTTTGTAGACAAGTTAAGGTTGAGAACTTGTTTAGGAAATGGAACAGTCACGTCAACATTCTCGATCTAAATAAAATAAGGAAACAAAGAGTGAAAACACTTTGAAAAAGTTAATGTATACAATATTTGACTTGGTATGATTAGGTTAGGACGATATAGTTAGTTTTATACAAAATGCTTTGAGATAACACGTATGAAAAAAATGGGCTAGTTTAGGTGATATCTTTAAGCTAATACAGTAAATGCAAGAAGATGCAACAGCAGTTTAATAAATTGACATGATTATAAATACATACATTTTTACCCATAACTGGTTTTGAACTTATCAACAATTCAAATGTTCCACTTCCACCCTGAAACAACCAAGTAAAAGACGATCACCGCATCAATGTTTTGAACAGTCGCACAAATTAAAAAGCAGCAAAATCAAACACTTTAATTTATTTCAATCAATAAAAAATATTTTAACATAATTTCAACAGTTGATAAACCTCTTGAAACAAGACACGAGGCTTTGCAAACAATGGTAGCATATTTACTCTAAACAAAAAAACAAAAAATACCATCAAAATAGACAATTTTATCATAAAAATATAACTGCTAAAACACCCACCCGGTTGCCACGTTATATGATATTAAACGAAAAGGACCATCCGGGGGGACGAATGACAAAATTCTTTCAGACTAAAATACACAGACATTTGAAGTAGTCGCGTTCAAACGCAGTTTTAGTGCAAGATTGAAAGAAAAGTGTTCAATGTAAAAAGACAATTGTTATTAGTCCTATTAAGAATAATGTCGACTTCGACCAGAGACAATCCATATTCAACATTCACACTTACGTACCTCCCATCTTCTGAAGCGAAGACAAGGATGAAAACTGACATCTTCAAGGAATGAGGATTTGTAAAACACATCTTGAGATCTATAATTAATACAAATCTTAATGTCTTCTGGAGAAGTAGCCTGAACATAAAAGATGATATTTAATTTGTTTAGGAGCATTTTCGTCATACAAATATAACATGAAAACCGTTGATGAAAGTACCTTAAAACTTCTCAACTAAACAAGCACAAACAACAATATACACATAAATTCATTTACCTTTCCCTGAGCTTCGAAGAAATAATCACAAACAGAGCGTCCCAAAACACTTCTCCAATGTTTTTCCAGAAATATATCCCTAAATGTACATGAAAAACAACATATGACCTAGTGACTCACAGTCACCCATTTGGTGTAAAGTTGTGATAACTAAACAATTGAGGAAGCTGAAATCATCAAAATGGCATCATCTAACTGACTTCAAAACTATTAAAATTACAGATATCAGGTAATATCTAAAGATTTTTATGACATTCTCTATTTTTTCGGGGTATTAATTCTGTCACAAGATACTTCTCATAATCTACCTTCACTGGCTTCTGACATTGTTCAGACTTTCATTTAATATCTTACTGAAACTAATCTCATTTTACCTCATTCAAATAATTGTAAAGTACTTCTCACAATAATCACAAGCTGATACGTACAAAACCAACAGAAGAGCTTTGAGAGCGAACAAATATAAAAGTAATAAAACCAATATATACTGTCAGTTAACTACCTACAATCTCACTTAAAATCACGTAATTCATCAAATTTTCACCCATCAAGGAATTCTTTTTGAATATCAGTTCATACCTTATGAGTCGGATCCATCTCTTGTACTCGTCGTTCTGCTTTGTAGCGCTTGGAAAAGCGAAGAACTTGCAAGTGTTGCCCTCCGACGAATGGCCACATGTAGGAGCAAAACAGTAAACCATTTTGCTCGTTTGACCCGCGTCCTTTACACTTCTTCGACGAAAGTTGATCCCTTGGATGATCCTTTAACCTTTCCTGTTTTTTTTTACTGTCTTTTGTGGGATTACACTGGATAATTAAAGCTTTAGACAAAACAAAACAATGTCCAAAGCGCTAGCATAAGATATTTTGTTTAGAACTGCATTTTTTTATCGCCATGGTAACGTGACGTCACACTTAAGGACTCTATTGACGTTGTAATTGTAATTTTTATCTCATATCAATAAAATCAAATTCAACGGAGCAAAAAAGAGAGCGTATTTATTATGTAATTGTGCTTTACTTTTAAATAATACTAGAACATTTACATTTTGCGGCTTGTTGAAGAAAAAATAGAGCGTAGAGAAAGAGAAAGAAGAACTTTCTCGTTTATATACTATGCCTTTCTATTCAAAGAGTTCGCCATTAGACGAAATTGTCGGTGAGTTGTGTAATACCAGATACAATGATTTGTTCATATATTTGTAACCTGATTCATATTCTAACCTTTTTATCGTCTGTGTTACTAATTGTCTTGTTCGTAGAAAAAGCAACTTCGGAAAGGAATCTTACTGAGAATTGGAGAGAAATAATGAATGTATGCGACAGAGTCTCACGTTCTTCCTCCGGGTAAAAATAAAAACTCTTTATAATATAATACTCAAAAGTTTACTCTCAAATACATTTTCAATTTTATGTCTAAAATCTTGCTTTAAAACTTCTACCGGGGAAAAAAATAATGTGTGTGTTTTTATATGTGTGTGAAAATCTTGTTTTGTGAATTTATGTGAAGTAAAACTGTCTTATGTCAAAATGACGAAATTATATTTCCTGTGTCATGATGACGAAGTTTAATGGCCCTGTCTTATGTTTGTATTCTCTAGGCCTAAAGATGGTTTGAATTCCATTTTGAAAAGAGTTGACAATCATAATCCAAAAGTGTCTTTACAAGCACTACGGTTAGCTGTTGGTTCTATAACCATTTGAAATTGAAGCAATTATTTTGAATTTTCTTCTTATGGTCATTGTTATGAATTTGACCACCATTTCAATTGCTTTTAGAGTATAAAAATATTTTTAAAACTGTATTTAGTATTGGGAAAAAATTATTATTTCAGGGTTTTACTTATTGCATTGTGTTGATATATTCATGGTATAATACAAGTAAAGGTGAAAATGAGAGCTAGTGGTTTATCATCCTGGCATTCATACAATGAATTGTAGCCATTTTCAAAACTTTAATTTTCATTTCATAGCTTCTTGATGCTTGTGTCAACAACTGTGGAAAACATTTTTATACTGAAGTATGTTCAAGAGACTTTGTTGGTGAAGTAAGAAATCTCCTGAGAAAGGTAGAATTTATGTTTATTTTGAATTTATTTTCTCTGCACATTCAACTATGTTGATTCATCAAGTAGAAGACTATCAAGTAAATGGCTTGAACCGAGCATCATTACATGTTTGTAATGTAGATTGACCAGGTTGGTATAGTCCTGAGAAGGACTGTTTTTGTTATTCTTGGACTTTCACAACCTTAGTGGTGTCATCTTATTGACTCTGAAGCAGTGCTGAACCAACGATCTAAATTTACAAACATAGAATACTATCATTTGTATATTAAATAAACTGTATTGTAATCAACAATGAACTTATAGTCAGCACATCTTACTCAAAATAATCAAACCTTGATTGTTTCAAATTTTTTTGTTTGCATGCAAACAATTGTCATGTTTTTGTTGTAATTGGAGCTGCAAATGTATTTTTTATGCAACTAGACCACTTGTATTTCTAATTATGTTCTTTGCCAAATCATATTTATCATTATTTATCCATAATAGTAAACATTGATGTTTTTTTTTAGATCCACCGATTGGCAGCATTGAAATTGAAGGGCATGATTAAGGAATGGGTAAAAATGTTCAAGAATGACCCACAGTTAAGGTATTTTGTTTTGTCAAAAGATAATTTATTAAAATTGTTTGCATCAAAATTGTTTTATACTTCTGCATGGATCGATTATTTTTATAGTTTGATTCCAACATTATATGAAGAATTGAAAAGAGAGAAAGAGGAATTTCCTCAAACTCTAGCTGCCAACATTACTTTATCGTCCCTGCCAGCAAAGGAAACTGCCACATCAGCAGAAGAGCATGACTTAGCTTTAGGTACGTGTCTTTATTTCTACGTCATCTTTAACTTGGTGTAGTGAGTTATCTTTAGGTTTAGAGTTGGCATTAGTTTTGGGATTAAGGTTTGGGTTAGAGCTAGTGGAAACATTTAAACTTTCATTTTTTATCCATGAATTGTTTGAATGATGGTGGGTTTAAAAGTTATTTTTATTTATGTTTTTAACATCCTTAGCTTCCACAAAATTTTTTAGTTTTTTTTATTTAAGTTGATTCTAAGTATCATTTGTTTTTCATGTTTATTTTTTCAGCCATTCAAATGTCTTTGCATGAAGCCAACTCAAGTCAGGTAAATTTTGTTCTACTTTGAATTTTTTGACTGCAAAATACTATTATAGAAAGCAATTGACACTTATAATATAAAATATGTGCTTTTTATGAAGTGTGAATTGCGTTGTATTTACATGTTACTTCCCAAAGTTGTTGTAGTAATGAATATTTTATGTATGAATTATTGTATTGTATTTGACAATGTCTATTATTCCAGTATAACAATGTCTATAACTCCAGTATAACAATGTCTATAACTCCAGTATTCTAATGTCTATAACTCCAGTATAACAATGTCTATAACTCCAGTATAACAATGTCTATAACTCCAGTATAACAATGTCTATAACTCCAGTATAACAATGTCTATAACTCCAGTATAACAATGTCTATAACTCCAGTATACAATGTCTATAACTCCAGTATGATAATGTCTATAACTCCAGTATAACAATGTCTATAACTCCAGTATAACAATGTCTATAACTCCAGTATAATAATGTCTATAACTCCAGTATGATAATGTCTATAACTCCAGTATAATAATGTCTATAACTCCAGTATAACAATGTCTATAACTTCAGTATAACAATGTCTATAACTCCAGTATAACAATGTCTATAACTCCAGTATAACAATGTCTATAACTCCAGTATAACAATGTCTATAACTCCAGTATAACAATGTCTATAACTCCAGTATAACAATGTCTATAACTCCAGTATGATAATGTCTATAACTCCAGTATGATAATGTCTATAACTCCAGTATAACAATGTCTATAACTCCAGTATAACAATGTCTATAACTTCAGTATAACAATGTCTATAACTCCAGTATAATAATGTCTATAATTCCAGTATGACTGGATTGTAAACTTCACATTTTCATTTCAGTCAAAAACTCCAAGTTTATATCCATCAGTTCAAGCTACTTCTCAATCATAATTCAATGGTTTGTTCAACTTTACTATAAGAATGTTTACGGAAATAATGTTGCTCATGTCATTTATTTCAGCCTGTGCAAAAGTGTCATTATATGAATTTAATGCAGGAGAGGATAACAAGTAACTTCAAAATAGCGATGTTATATAGTCACAGATAACAGGTAAATGTTTAATGTAAACTTGCAGATAATCATAAATTGCAGCATCAGACTGTGAAGATCATCATGGATTGTTTGCTTCACGATAAAGATCATCATGGATTGTTTAGCTTCAGACGATAAAGATCATAATGGATTGTTCTGCTTTAGACTGTAAAGACCATCATAAATAGTTTAGCTTCAGACAGTAAAGATCATCATAGATAGTTTAGCTTCAGACTATAGAGATCATCATAGATTGTGCACCTTCAGACTGTAAAGACCATCATAAATAGTTTAGCTTCCGACAGTAAAGATCATCATAGATAGTTTAGCTTCAGACTGTAGATCATCATAGATTGTGCAGCTTCAGACTGTAAAGACCATCATAAATAGTTTAGCTTCAGACTATAGAGATCATCATAGATTGTGCAGCTTCAGACTGTAAAGACCATCATAAATAGTTTAGCTTCAGACAGTAAAGATCAATTCATCATAGATAGTTTAGCTTCAGACTATAGAGATCATCATAGATTGTGCAGCTTCAGAGAGTAAAGATCATCATAGATAGTTTAGCTTCAGACTATAAAGATCATCATAGATTGTGCAGCTTCAGACTGTAAAGATCATCATAGATAGTTTAGCTTCAGACTATAGAGATCATCATAGATTGTGCAGTTTCAGACTGTAAATACCATATCTCAAGTTTTTGTTTAAAAAAGATGTACCATGTATGTTATTTGTGAGAACTCACCTTTCAAAAAGCTGTTCAAACTTAATGAATGAATGCCATTAGATTATTTTACTGTTTTATTTTGTAGTGATGCCAACTGGTGGAAAGGCGAAGTCAATGGAAGATCTGGATTGTTCCCAACGAACTTCGTCACAACTAACATGACACCGGATCCAAAGCAAGGTACATACTTTTTGAAGCGTTTTCTTCTTTTATAACAAAGCTCATGGTGTTTGTATTGAAAAATAAGCGAAAAGTTAGCTTTTCTGAACAAGATTCAATCAAAAGATTTGATGGTAGGTTATCTGTCTGTATATTTAACAAAACTCCAATCAATAACTTATTAATATATCTTTTTTTCAAAACATTTTGATGAGTCTTTTTACGATTGTCGATATTTATATAGCATCTGCATCGATTACCCAACCAGTTGCAATTGATGAAGTAAGTAAAATGGTCAATCAACATTTACATTTTTTGAAATTTGCATGTAAACCTTGTTTGAGTCTTAATTAGCAATTTTTCTTGTGTTTGGTACGAAGTGTCTCGTGAAATTCGCAAACTTTGTATACTCCATGCAATTTAAATTTTTACAACAGGATTAATGGTTTTAATCGGTTGAACTGTTTGTTAAAACGAGTTTATTTTTTTTCCTTAGGAAAAAATAAAACAATGCTTAGTGATGTTGAAGAACGCTAATGTTGAAGAAGAGGACGATGATGAAGAAACATTAATAGAATTGGAAGGTTGGTTTTGATGTCATAATAGCCGTTTATTTACTTTCATTACACTCAATTTTCTACTCCAGAAATAAACACTTTCAGACTCTATTGTTTCATACAGTTGTTGGATTTTGAAAAGTTTGATTTTGAACAGCTAAGAAATTTATGGAATGAGACTTCGCGTGTGTCATCAATTCTTTTTTGATGCATTTTTAATCTGTTATACTTTCTTAAAGTTACTCACTATTTGCGTTATTATTTGTAGAAACATGTAGAAAGATGGCCCCACTTATCGCTGATAAAATTCAAGTGATCCAAAAAAAATACGATGAATTGACTGATATAAATGTTAGTTTCCTGCAGGCCATGAGCAAGTATCAAAAGTAAGCGATTCAACTACAGGAGGATTTTTTAATTGTTGCCATTGTCTTCATTCAAGAATAAACAACAGAGAATGAGAGTTGCAATAAGATAAACCTGTTGTTGTTTAGCATGCTGAATGAACCTCTTCCTGTGCGTCAGTCGTTTTCCAATGTTGCTTCAATACCACAAAATAATCATTATACACAACAAGTCGTGAACAATCCCGCCTTGCTTAGATCTTACATGACTGGACACCCATCAGCGAGCTATAGCCCCGGACCTTCACACCCCGGACTTACACAGATTGTAGCAGATGGCACGGTGAGTTAATATGGATTCGTCTATTGACTCTGATAGTGGAATTTCAATGTAAAACGTTTATGTTACTCGAGAAGTAAGGCGTATTTTGATTTAGTCCTGATTTTTTCATAACATAAGCTTGAATTGTATAAGAACTCGGTAGATCACTCCTAACCCTGGCGTACTTACCTATAGCCTGCTTAGTAGTTCTATTTTTATTTATTTGTGTTTACTTTTTGCAAAAACAATTGAAACTTCTATTTTACAGTACCAAGATGGAAAGAAGTTCCTGAACACAACTTTTACCTTAGGATATCCTTAAATTAAAAAAAAATAATTCAGAATCTCTTTTACCTTAGAATATCCTTAAATTAAAAATAAATAATTCAGAGTCCTCGATTTGGTAAAGATATTTTCGAAAGTCGTTGCATTTTTTAATTTTTTAATACCTGTTTTCATCGACTTTTTGTTAACATATCGGATGGCGCAATAATTTCCTTTTTCAAAAGTGGAAGTGAAATTGTAATTTGAAATGTCATAACTTTGATGTAACCTACAAAAACATGGTGTTTTTTAGCGTCACATGACTTCGTTAATATCATACGTACACCCATGACAATGTGAAAGGATTTTAATAGAAAAGAAAATCGTAAAAGTGAAACATTCATGAGAAGAAAACCATGCATGTTGTGTGAGATCAGATTAACTGCTTTCGATAGAAAAAACATCGTTTGTTCTTGATTCATTGAAAAAGCTTTTTGGTTTTAATTTTGATAATGCGTTTAGTAATTTTTTTGCGTTAGTCGTGCTTCGGGTGTATTCGATGTCTTAATTACTCGTCCTTGACTTTATTCAAAATATGTCCTTCAAAGTCCGTGAAAAGTCTCAATACTATTGCTTTGTGCAAACGCAATTTTCATTTTTAGACATCGTTTATGATGCTGTTTCGAAGTTAAATAAACAGGACAAAACTTTCTCGCCTCCTATATCGACATATGTAGCCACTTTTTTTACATTAATCTCGCGGTCTTGTTACAGGGACCGCGAAAGCTTTTAGTTTTTTATTTTTGTGAGGAAATTAAGGCACCGTAAATTTGCTTCCTCCTCTCTTTTTCCTCGTTAAACACGCATTCGCTATGTTTGCAAGCTCAAGATGGAAAATATTGCGCGGTTATAACCCCCATTTGCTTTGTAGTCCATGCGTCAACCTCTAATGATTACTCACTGCACCAATGGGAAGCATCCTGAATTAGTTATTCACCGATACGATATCGCCGTATCGGCTTTAAAATAGAATTATCGGTATCGCTATTTTTCTTGCCCATAATATCGATATTTAGACATTTCATTGAAATAGAAATACAATTGAAGTAAATCATTGCTCAATAATACTAAATATATTTTAGAAAACAATTTTTGTTAAATTAATGCTACTTAAACTTTGTTAGTTCCACACGTTCCACATGATGCTGATTTCCATTGATTATTGTGCTGTAAAATATGGCTGTAGTGTAAATAAACACTTTGAATTTTATACTTTTTTTATCAAACGAACACTCACTGGTGAGCAAAGAGTGGCATACTTTATCATTTTTAAGTTTCGTAAAATATCGGTATCGGCACAATATCGGTTAATCGGTATATCGGTAAAATCCTATATCGGTGCATCACTACACTGAATTTTTACTCATGCTCTGCAGATATTGCGACACGTTTTGTTAGCGGTTAGCGGTTGCGTTCGATGTATTTTAGTTGAATAGTAGGACCACTTTGTTAACTCAAGTAATCGCATGTAAAGTTTTGTTCGAGCACTTATCACGCAATGGTGTTTAAACCATACTTTCACCAAAGCATATCATATAATCAAATTGATTGGATTGTGTACTTTGTTCTGTAACAATTTAATCATGTTCTAAAAGTCAAGATATTGTTTTAAATCTATCAGCAACATTCAAAAATATTTTAACGATCTTTTTGTGAGATCTTAAGTTATAAATGTTAATCTTAATTTTAAATTTTATGATTTAAGTTATTATTAAAATCCTATAGTAAAATTCAAGATGTTGCATTCAAGAAATGAACTATAGTCAATATTTATATAAATTATAATAAATATATAATTATAGTAAATAATTATTTATATATATATATATATATATATTTCTATAATAATGTTTATTTACTATGGTCTTTTATTAAGACTATAGTTCATTTGTTGAAAACGACTCATCAAAGAAATGCATACTGTTACGAATGTCCCGACTAATAATAAAATGGCCGCTTTTGGTTCAATTTCTCGTAACAAAAGGAGTAAAACCTTGTGGAGAAGTTGTTGTCAATTCTTAAGATATTTATTTAATATACTAATATTTTGATATAAACGTTATAATATAAATGTTTAAATGTTCAAACGTATCTAAGACAACTGCTTTCAGAAACTCTTTCGTTGATGGATTGGATATATATCTGGATTCTTTGGTTATCTTCGTAAATAGTTCGTTTTCTTTTACATGAGGCTTTCTTCTGATGTGAACTTCTACTAAGCACCAACATAACTACAACTTTCGATTCTCGGCTTATATGTGATTGCACAATGACGTACGATTAACCGCTTGTGCGTAAACTGTGGTCAGTTGATTAACCATGTCCTGTACGTTGTTTGTGGTCAGTAGGTAGGTTGACTACGTCCTATACGTAAGCTTTTCCTGTTATTGTGGTTAACATACACATGCATGTATGAGTAAGGCATTTTACAAAGAGCACTAAAATAAATTTAAGTATATAACAATAATAACTGTAATTTACATTATTATGGATTATCATGTAACACCCTTCCCCTTAACAAAAAGAAAGATTAAGAAGCTTTCTTTAAGATAATAATGTTCTAAGGTCGTGAGAGACAGTCAGCGATGAAGTTGTCTCTACTTTAAACACAAATATTTCAACATGAGTAAAGTTTAAACTATAAGAAAATCGCTTCTATAAACATGAGTAAAGTTTAAACTATAAGAAAAAGTAAAGTCGCTTCCTAAGTCAAAAGTTCAACAGACGTTTTGCTGGATTTTAACACGAATATTTCAACATGAGTAAAGTTTAAACTATAAGAAGAGACGCATAAACACATAAATTAGATGTTTTTACATCACTATATCAATAGTTTTCTCTTGTGCCAAAGAGAAGTAATTATAAAGTTTGAGCGCTTCTACAAGGTATTTATAAAAACAACTAATATTTGAAATACCATCGATCAATTTTCTCTAAAAGCGATTGTCTCTCCAAGTTTAGTCACGCTATGAAAATTTCAGAACTTTATGATCATTTTATTTCTTTGGAAACCTATTGTTTTTCATTGAGAGTCTTTCACTGATCACAGAAAGTTTAAGAAAATCAATTGTGTTTCAATGTGCACCGTGAATGTTTAACGACATCAAAACTTAATGTTCTAAAGCTATTCATCCGACATCACTATTTACTTAATAAAAACTTAAACAGAGAAAAACAATTTAACTTTGTGTTTTGCATTAGCCTGTACAAACGTGCGTGTATCTGAGCTACATGAATTATATCAATCAAAGATAATTTGCAAATGAATCATATGAATACATGTTAGAGAAAAATTTACAACCTTTTCATGAAGTTGTCTGTTTCGCATAACTATTATTTACAAAAGAACTAAAGATGTTTTGTGTTTGTACTCGCTTATGCAAACCTTGAAAAACAAGTGAAAAAGAACTCTCTAGCTGGTGCAAACTGTCAACTTTCAGTTGTAAAGCTTTGCACTAACATTGTCTCCGTTCAAATATCACTTTCGTTTTGCTCAACCCTGTACAACAATTAAGCATCTTTCATTTCCAAATCCCATCCTATATTCAGTCTTTGCAATCCTCTCGTTTAAATTTTTTCATTGGATTGTGCAAGAGGTGAGGTGTGACCTTTCCTTACTAATTATCAATATACCAACAATTAAATTTCTTATTTTATCTTCTGTGTCCATAATATCCATTCATATTATCCATAATGTCAATTCGTGTCCTTTATTGCAGAAGCACAGACTGTCGTTGATATATATTTAAATTACGACTGTGAATTCGCTGTCGAATATCTTTCAAAAGATTGATCAATGATTTGTCTAAAAAGTTGCTTAAGGACGTCAAGCTCTATTGAATTGGGAGCGACGCAGTAAGTTGATAGATATGTTTCAAACTGTTTAGTTCTCTACATTTTCTTGTTCATATCTATACCACTCGAAAAGGACTGGAACGTAGTCTATTATTATGAAAGAACTGGGACATAGTCTATCAACATGAAGGGTAGAGAACATGTCTCTAATTTTTTATTGCTAGAACAATGCTGATTATAATACATCTTTTATCACGTTTTATATGAATAGTATCAATAATGTTGTTTTTATGATTTTCCAAGGTTCAGAACGCAGTATTCGTGTCAAAGGTCTGGAATGTCTCGTTTATTCTTAAATGTATATGGTAGAATGGAGCAGGATCTTTACTTTAAACCTGATTCTCAGGTGGCCGATAATTTTGGTGGTTTTAACATCTTTATGAAACTGAAGAAACTCGCATGTGGCGAATATAAACAATATTGTTATACATTTCGATAACTTATCGCTTTATGATCCATTGTACTTCTCTTTTCGATATCGGCTACACTGAAGAATGTCTCCATCAAGATTCCATCTTTCTATACTCTGTATCCTATTTATCGAAGGTGCTCCATTTTCTTATACACACGTTAATGTTCTTAATCATAACTAGTTGTTCGACAATTGTAGTTAACCTCTCAGGATCTAGTTATCCATGGTTATCTTTTACCCTTGCTGGTCACTTGGTGGATCAAGGCTAAAATCTTAATGTTTATAGTTACTGATTATTGACTCATGCTACCTCAATGTTCTAGTCTATCTGCAATAAAATCTATACTATCTTCCCCGATAATCTAGGCTATCTGTTAATGATCTATGCTAACCTCTTAATGATCCATGCAATCCCTTATTGATCTCCAAATCATCATAGTTGTTATAAATACTTTCTGTTTAATCTCTTTCATATAAATTTCCTGACAAGATCTGGTTGATGATGCACCAACAATTTCTCGAAAGGAAGCGCAAGGAGAAACAGGGGGAGCACGGTGAATTATAATCTAAAAACGGGGGTAGTCCCTTGTCTCAAATTACAAAAACCATCGATAATGCTGATTTGAAGTCTTAAACAGAAGAGGAGACGAGAGAAGAGAAAAGGAATTTAATTGTAAGTTTGGTCAACAATTTGTTTATCTTTGTACTTTTATTCAATTTACGATTTACTTTAAGATTTAACAAGAATCCATCAAAGGTATGGAATTGCTTCAATCTGAAGGTCTCCTTCGTGAGATATCCCACTTAAATTTTCTCAATTC